CACTATTATTTGTCTATTTGTTTTCCTGAGAAACTATTTTGTAGATAATAATATGTAAAACGATAACCATTGATAAGTTCCTACCATTTTGTCTGTAATATAAGTCCCCCCTATTATTATGTTATTCTTGTTTTACTCTTTAAAATAAAAAAAAAAGAAATATATCCTTCAGTTGAGCTTTCTGCTTATAAATGTTACTTTTAGTGTTCTGTTTCTTTATGGCATATTTCTGCTGTGACTTCATCAAGGCCATTCTTCTTGTTTTTTTTGTACCAGGAACTGAACTCAGGACCTGGCACTTGCCAGGCAGATCAAGACCATTCTTAATGCCCCTCTGTCACCTTTTTCTGTACCTATATTGTGAAGTTCTACCATGTGATTGAAGCTCCTCTGATAACTTGAGACCATTTCTCATTTGTGTGTGGGCATATTTTATTTTTTTGAGTTTCATAACTTCCCGGTGAGATCAAAGGTATAAGCATTGCTACCACATGATATAGATGAGAAAATTGAGGCTTGGAGTGCTTCACTCCCTTGAATTCTTACAGGCTGGTCTATTCGCTTGGCACTTACCCTACACTGCCTCCTAGTACTATTTTCTCATGCGTGTATGGCTTAACCCCTTCAATTTCTTCAAGGTAGACATTGTTCCTTGTGTTCAACCCTGCAATTTAAACATGAGAGGAACTGAGTAAATATTAGCTGTTTGATTTGTTAAAATCAAGGAATCATAAATCACTGAGTTTAAAAGGAACCTTATTGATCATTTAATGAACACTTTTGCTTATCACACAAGTTTGAAGTTTGCACACCCCTGGAGGTAATCAGTACAATGTCATTCATCTTACCAGGAGATTTGAGGTAAAATTACTTTAGTGTTAAATGCATTCTAATATATAATATTATGAATTTAAAATGAAAACTTTTAAGGTGTTGCTAAGATATAGGGTAACAAGTATTTAAGATGGAGCATAAAACTTCAAAGAAACCTCACAGAAAGGTCAAAGCTATCACTGTGTCAAGCTACCCAACATTTTGAAAGGTGGGGGAGAGTGGAGTTGAGTTATTTTTGTTCTTTGCAGTTGGTGCTATTTTTATTGAGAGGCTTGATGTGCAGCCTTATTTGAGATTCGAAGAGGTTAAGCAAATTGGTCCAAATCACACCTTAATGCAATCAATACTGATACAGTACCTGCTGCTAGTTATGCAAACTCCAGGGACGGAACAATGAGAAAAACAGACAGGGACACCGACCTCAGAAAGTTGTGAGCGGGGCGGAGGGACAGGGAGGGAATGACAGCCATTAAATTAGGATTCAATATGCACAAACCATACAAATCAGCCAGTCTCTCAGTTAGCCAGCTCTCCAGAGAATACCAAGACAGTACTCTCTTACTGTAGCACAGAAGAGCTTTAACATCTTTTCCTGTATCTTACCTTCTCAGTATTGTCTCAGCAGCTAGTTACTGCTTTCCTTTTTTTCCTGGCCCTTAGCCTGAGCAGTTCCTGGCTCTTTATCTCTTACTTTCATGGGTTTTTCTTCTTTTTTTTCTTCCATCTATTCTAGCCTCAGTGTTAGTGAAGCTAATTTTTGGTAAAGGACTTTTTAGAGGTTGTGGTAGTCAGAAAAAAAAAAAAAATTCTTGTACTGATTTTTGTTTCTGCCGTACTTCTTATTGACACTGTGATGGGCATAAAAGTGCAGAGTATTTGACCAAGGCTGGGCATTAAGGAAAATTCTCTGATAAAGGGACATTTACAGTTGAGTTCAGATAGGTAAATATTTACAGTACTAATCAAGAAAAGGAGATAAGAACATTCTAGGGACATGGGTTATAGTCAGCAAAGCCCCAGGATGGCAAGAGCCCTGGAAATGATGAAAGGTCCTTGTGGCCAAGACACAAGGGGAGGCAGGGCCCCAGTTCTGAAGGAAAGGCCTTGCAGACTATGTTCAAGATTAGGTTTCAAGTGGCTTCCACTAACCAAAAGCAGGGACAAACTGAGAATTAATATAACAGTAGCAAGGAGTTATAATCTACTGAGTAAAATTAGAGTTCATTAGACCATGCAGATATAAATAAATGAGAGGAAGGAAAAAAGGAAGATGAGGAGAGGAAGGGGGAAGTTGTTTAGTACACTACCAACAACAGAGAAGAAAGATTTGAAGCCAGGCATGGTGGTACATGCCTGTAATTCCAGCACTCTGGAAGGCTGAGACAGGAGGATTGCAAGTTAAAACTTAAACCTGGACAATTTAAGGACTTAACAAGAGTCTGTCTTAAAATAAAGCATTTTTTAAAAAGGGCTGGGAATGTAGCTTAGCAAGAAGGCCCTGAGTTGAATACAAAGTACCATAAAACGAAAAAATAAAATTTTAACTTCGTTACATAGGGTTTGATAACATATATTCTCATTTTAATACCTATCATCTTTCTTCAGCATTTTGCCTGTGGCTATACTTTTCACACTCTTTTTGCTGTAGCTGTATTTTTGTGGAAGAAAGGAGCTGAGCAGCTCTGTGCACCTGCTCTACCACCAAGCTACACTCCAGCCTCATTCAGAATTTTAATTTTAATTAATCAATTAAATTTTTGAGACAGTGTCTCACGATGTAGTTCAGGCTGACCTTGAAGTGGCTGTGTAGCCAGGTTGGTCTCACATTTGTGGCAATCATCCTGTCTCAGCTTCCTGAGTGCTGGGATTATAGGCATGTGCTACCATGCCTGGCCTTATTTGGCACTTTTAATTCACATTATTTATCTCCTATTTATGTTAGCTGAAAAACATGTGGTTTTGAATTATTTTTAATGCAAAAACTTGTTTTCCATTTCAGCACAGATGAAACTTATACTTTCATTACACAATACAATGTGTGAAATTCAAAATGACTTCTGTTTCTCACATATTTTGCCGAGCTAAATGATACTAGATACACGCTATTCTATGAATATTAATAAAAAATAGCCAATTAAACTTAGTACCTTATATGTAATTTTAGGTTGTTATTGGTGAGATAAATGGATAAAAGAAAATAATTCAAGCAAGAATTTAAAAAAAAATACTCTAAAGCTCAGGTTTTAAAAAATCTTTTAGATAAAGTTCAAATGTATGAAAGGGACAGATCCTGAGTCCAGTGTGATGGTGCTGTGGTTTGGCTCTGGTTTGCCCAGCACCCATGTGCCCAGATGTGACCCCATCTTGAGTACCAAGAGGGCGGAAATGTATTGTGACTGTGGAGCTCAGAGACGGGGGCCTGTGTGAGGGGCTTAGGGTTAGGTAAATTCATCAGGTGGTCACCAGGTTGCACCCGCAGGCTTCATAAGAAGAGCGAGAGAGATCAGATAAACACACACACATGCATGTGTGGGCTTCCTGTCTCTTCCTGCGTAAGATCTTAGACCACCTCCAGACTTTGGCAGCAGGAAGGCGACCACCACACGTGCCACCTTAGCCGTGTACGTCCGGAAATGTGAGCCAAAACGAGCCTCTGTTCATTATAAAGTAGCCTGCGTCAGGTATTTCCTGTAGTAATGAAAGATGCTAAGTTCTGACAAATGTGCACTCTCATATAACCCGTACCTCCAGCAATATTCAGAACATTTTTGACCCTCTAAACTTGCCTTATTCCTCTTTCTGATCATCACCCCTTCCAGAAGCAAATGCTTTTCTGGTTTTTGTTTGTTTTTCATGTTACATTTATTTTATTTATTTATTTATTTAGTCTTTTTGAGACAGGGTCTTGCTATACAGTTCAGGCTGACCTTGAGCTCACTTTGTAGCCCAGGCTGGTCTCGAACTCGCAGCGATCCTCCTGCCTCAACCTCCCGAGTGCTGGGATTACAGGCATGTGCCACCACACCTGGATTACATTTATTTTATACCAAAGATTTTAATATTGTTTTTTAGTCAAATTTAGTCAGGAAATTCATATATATAAATCAGGGAATGTATTTATTGTGTCTAGCTTTTCTCACTCAGCACAATGATAATGTGTATGAGATTTATCCATGTTATATCCATAGTTCTTTTTCTGGTGGATGGTTTTTTATTATTTGAATGTAGCATAATTGGCTTATTCATTCTTTTTAGAATAGTTATAGCTTTAGTTTTCATATTTTATTTATTTATTTATTTATTTATTTATTTTGGTACTGGGAATTGAACTCAGGACCTTGCATCTGCCAGGCAGGTGCTTGTGTTGCTGAGCTATATCCCCGACTAGTTTTCATATTTATGTCCATGGTTTACCATAAAGTAATGAGGTGTTATGTTTCTGTTACCTAAATGTCCCCCAGAGTCTCTTGTGTTCACAATGGGGCTTTGGGGAGGTGACTGGATATGGCAGCCTGAAAATTATCAATGATTTGTGAGTAGGATTCTTGCAAATTTGTGAGTAGTCTGTGATTAGCACTCCTGTGCTATGCCCATCTACCAAGCTGTTCTGCTTGGGAGCCCCTGGACTATGGACTGAATCCTCTTCAACCTCTGAACTGAAATAAGCCTCTTCTTTAATTTTTAGGCATCGGGTATTTTTTCACAGTAATAAGAAAGTTCACTAAAACAGACTTGGTACCAGAAAATTAAGGTTGTTGCTGCAACATTACCTTACCATGTAGCTCAGAAGCCTTTGGAACTAGTTCACCGGAGGAGTTTAGGGAGGTTTGGAAATGCCAGCTGAACAAGCAGCCCTAGAATGCTGTAAACCAAGATGGGAGATTCAAATCAGAGCTCAGAAACCTAGGATAATGATAAAAAGGCAGACAATAAAGTCCAGGCTTAAGAGGTTTCAGCTGGAAACAAGAACTCCACTGGTGGTTGGACTCCGGGCCATGTATGTATGCTGTGGCAGAAAACTTGTCTATATTTTGCTTCTGTCCTCAGACTTTTTAGCAGATTTAGATTAAGGGTAATGAACTAATGAATTATTTAACAGTGGAAATTTCAAGGCAGTCCAGTGTTGAGGCTGTGGCATGGATACTGCTGAAAATCAGGAGCAAAAGCCCTTTTGAAAGGTTTTTAGTTTCACCAGAAAGGAAATGGTGCAAAGTTGGAGCAAAGGAAAAGCATGTTGCTGAAAAGACTTAATTTTAAAATAAATTTTCCATTTTACCTGTGACATAAAGTTGATTATAATATTTTCCTATATCCTTTGTGTTTCCTTTAGGATTTTTATTAATATCGCCCCTCCCCCCTTTTGAGACAGGATCTCATTTCATAGTTCATGCTGTCCTGGACTCACTATGTAGCCCAGGCTGGCCTCGAACTCATGGAGATCTTCTTGCCTCTGCCTCCCTGGTGCTGGGATTAGCGGTATGTGCTACTACACTCAGACGTATCCTTTAATCACTGATATTAGCGATTTGTATTTGCTCTTGTTCTTACTCCTTAGACCCACCTCATCTATTAATCCAGTTTAACTTTATTAATTTTATGTATTGTGTCTGCTGTCCATATTGTCAACTGTTAGTTTTATTTATACTATTTTCTGTTACTTTGGATTTAATTTATCCTCCTTTTTCTAGCAAATCTTTCAAACCAGTGTTTGTAATCACTTATACATTTTCTTCTAGTTCTACAAACTTCTGTTTGGAAATAGAGACTTTTGGAAGGTACTTACATTATCATTCTGTTCAATGCTTTCTGAATTTTCCTTAAGATTTCTTTTTTAACTCAATATCTAAATACTTGAGAGTGCTTTTAGATATTTTATTAACACTGATTTGTAATTTAATGATATTATGATGAGATTTCAATCTTTGAAATTTACTGAGATTATCTTAATGCCCAAATATTTAGTTCTTCCTCCAAAGAAGACAAAAATATACCTGAAGCCTTTAGCCTCCAGCAACTTCCATGGTTCTATGCTTTACTGATTACATTAGTTCCTTTGAAGGTGGTTAAAATCATACCTGGTAAAAGCATGTACAGTTGCCTTATCTTCTGTTTTAATATTCTCCTAAATAGATCAGTTGCCGTTCAGAACAAGTGTCACTTGAGGCCTTTGTTAATAATGATAGCATAAACCTAACTGGAAAAAAACCCTAATGTTCCAATATTCTATTACTAAACAAGAAGAAAGAAATATATTTGCTAATCATAAAGCAAACCTAAGTATCATGCAAAACTATTAAACTTCTTAAAAGCTTTTCCTAAGGATAACCCGGTAATCAATATAAAGCAGTAAAGTAACTGCTTTGTTTGCTTTCCAAAAAGCACTGTAGACAATGAATATTTAATGGTAGATGAACCAATATGCTGAATGTAAGGAATAATGGCTTGGGAAAGCAGCTGGAAAGATTTGGTTACATTGGAGGATCAAGTGAATTACAATTAGTCTAATGATGAAAGCCTTTAAGTTTTTGCTTTAAGGCTATTGTCCTGAAATACTAGTCATGGGTTTATTATTTATCCTAAGTTTATGTTCCATAGACCTTCCTTACATGTGTGCAGATATCCCACAGTCACAATTATTAACACAGGGTCGATAAGCCTGAGGCTGAATTTCACTTTATTTGTCTTAGTTTATCATTTTTACCTAGGGCACAAGACAGAGGTATGCCAATAGTCTTCTTTGTTTTTAAAAGGCATTTTGAGTAGCTGCTGGATTTGTAATCACTGAGTTCTCTGACTGAAAAACAAGGAATCTGATGAAGCATCACTAAAGAGCTGTACAGGTCAGACTTACCTGAGAACAATTTTCCTAAGAAAGCTTTGCAGTCAATCTACCTGGAAAAATTTTCTTCCTTTAAAGTACATGGCTAGTCCTTCTGCTCTTTGAGGGCATTTCCCCTTAGTGGTTCTAAAATTTTATGAGAGAGATCCACTTGATTTACTTGAAACATTAGGCTTATTGGGGCCCTGTTGGTGAATTCTGTGAGATATTGAGGTGTGTGTGTGTGTGTGTGTGTGTGTGTGTGTGTGTACTGGAGGAGGTAGCTGTGAAAAAGCAAACTTTAAATCCAAGAATATGTTTGTTATCTCATTACTATTGTTTTCAGTTCACAGCAAAATAGAAAGGAAGGTAGAGATTTTCCATATATGTATACTCTCCATGCATAATGCCCCTCATTATCAGCATTCCCCTCATTATTTTTTTTACTTCCCTAATTAAACTCTTTAGAGAACATGGCTCTATTTTCACCTTTCAAATTTTTTATTCAATAATTCATTATTTTGAGATTTTAGAATTCTCTTGACATTTTCAGTTTTTTTTTTCCACTAGAGAAGTAAATGGGGATACTGTATAGACTAGAGATATAGGCCCAGAATTTAGGGACCACTTAGAAAATGGTAAACATACAAGCTATTTTTAAGAACAAATCTATCACTCTGAAATAGTTGAATGAGGCTGTGTAACTTGGAGTAATTTATTTGACTACTCTGTACCTCAATTTCTTCAGATGTACAACAAAGCCTAAGAATAGTGTAGTATTCAGTACATAAGGTTATTACAAAGATCAAATGAAATTAATGCCTGCAAAATCACTTAAGAGAAGATTTGACATATACAGTAATAAGTGCTCTATCAACATTATACCTCATTGCTATAATTATTTGTATTTCATATAAAATAATGAACATTATTATATCATTTATATCAGTCAGAATTCTGATCTAGATCAATAAACATGCATATTTCTATATAATTTTATAATATGGTCATGGGTTTAAATTGTGTTATTGCAATAGATATGATACACACCCGTATGTTACATCTTACACTTACCCTTTAAATCTGTATATGGTGATGTTACTGGCTTTTGGCATCCTGTAGATTATTTCCAGGTTTTTTTTTTTCGGTTTTTCTCCGGTACCAAACTCACGACCTTGCGCTTGCCAGGCAGGCGCTTTTGCCGCTGAGCTAAATCCCCAGGCCTCCAGGTTATTGATATCCTGAACAAAGAAGGACAAGACACAATCTTTGGACAAGACACATAAAAGAAGGTACTAAGGATTTGCATTTATTAAAGGTGAGAAAAGAAATACATTCTGCAGAGTAAGAGCAGGTCACTGAGGGAGTTCACAGTGGCCACGGTGTTAATGGTGGGGGTGTTGTGCATCTCCCATTTTTTGGCCTGACATTATAGCTAGACTGTCCTACCGAAAGCCTGCTTGGTTCCATGACAGATGTAAATGAAAAATTGAAGACAGCACTTTCTGATTGGTTCCAGATGCAGGGTTTGGGAGCTGTGTTTTGTGCATGTGTTCTGGGTGTTATCCCTCAGTGCTTACTCGAGAAACATACTGAATGCAAGATATACAAATATATAAGAATTTACAGGATTGACTTACAGTGGCAGCCCACAGACTCAGGTATGAAAGAGTGCAAAAGTGCTGCCTGTGCACTGGAGATCCATAGAAGCCAGTTGAAGACCTGGAGCTCAGTTTAATGTCCTGTGTGAGTTCATATTGAGAGGTCATAGAGTCTATGTTGGAGGCTGACAGGTTTGTGATGGAAGTTAGATTATGTCAAAGGTGAAGGTAAAGACTGGAGCTCCTCTGATGAAACAGAAGCGAGGCTTCCTTCTTCATTTCTCTTTTATTCTATTCAGGCACCAAGCCTATTGGTTAGTGCCATTCACACCCAGGGTGGAACTTCTAGCTTCATAAATCCCTTCAGCCACACCCAGAACTATGCTGATCCAATTCATTTGGGTGTTTCATACTCAAATTGGCACAGTCAGTTAACTATCACAGTGTCTGTGATTGACAGGTCATGACCACTTGCTCAGCCAATTTTCCCACCATAATCTTCTATTTCATTTTTCCCAGAGAGATATAATTCCCATCACTCTTTATGGGGTGCTGAGGAAGTGGAGGTCTCTATCTTTATATAGCTACTTTTGGCTGAAACTGGTTGGACGTAGGCCCTGTCTACCTGGGATTATGTGCTCTCTGACTACTTTGGGATGTTGGGGCTCACTGGCTGGGCTGGGAAAAAACCTATCAGAAGACAATGAGAAAAGAGCGTCTATGTGTCAAGAACTGTTTAGTTGCCTGTTCAGTGGGAGAGAGCTTGGTGAATTCATCAGGAGAGTAATGGGTTGTAACAGAAAATGCACCCCCCAGCCAGCATTCTTCGGTTACCCAGGTAATAATTCCTGTTACAGTTCTTGTTACTTCTGTCTCCGGGAAACACTGCTCACTGTGATGCATATTATAGGAACCAAGCAATAACCGCCAAATACTCTGCTTCTGTACATCCTGCTTGCTTATCTCATATAAGCCCCAAACTATGAAGGATCAGGGCCTGATATTCCAGGAATGATGCCAATCAGTGTCCATTGATGTCAAATAAATCTTCCTCCAAATCCTGGGTGTTGTTTGGTGTTTCTGTTTGCTGTTGCATCTGGTGCATTGGCTGGGAAGACTGACCATGCTGACCCCTTTGGTCACTTGTTGTGGCCCTCATGGACAGAGCAGGGACCTCTTCATGTCCTGATGGGAAGGCATGCCCTTGAGATTTCTTGAGTCCCCTCAGAGGTCTGGAGGAGGATTCTTGGTTCCCCACTGAGCAGCTCACATCAGACCCAGAAGGGAGGAGGATGCAACCTGGTTTGGTCATCAGATAAGGTAAGATCCCTGGGGGCAGCCCAGTTAGTCTGTCCATCAGTCCTGCTCAGCTTGAGCAAAGGAGAGATTGATCACCTCGCATTATTCGGGGCCACCCTTGAGGGAAGGAGGCTGGAATGTTTAACCTTGGAGTACATGTTGAATGAGTGCATGAGTGAGTGGAATGGACCACATAAGCAATAGTCTGCTCTGTCTGTGCACCAAGACTGGGAAGCACTGGTCTCAGCGGCTGATTGGGCCCTTGCCTGCAGTTCTGTGGTGATTGACATATGGCATAATGGAGGCCTCATACCTTCTTTTTTTTTTTTTTAGTTTTTTTTTTTTCCGGTACCGGGAATCGAACTCACAATGTTGCGCTTGCCAGGCAGGCACTGTGCTGCTGAGCTAACTCCCCAGCCCTTGCTCATCCCCTCTTTAACTAAACTTTGCCTCAGTCCCCGCCAGGGGCACAGCCAGGCAGGCACCTGAATGGTCTCTCTCTGAGGGGTACCCACCCTTTTTCTGTTGTGCCATCATTCAAGGATACACAACAAGTAGGAAGTCAGAGATGGGAGCTACTTGGTCAAAATCCACAGTCCCTGACTTCAGGATAAAAGACTTTTCTAAGATTACAGAGTTAAAAATAAAAACTGCTCAAATTAAGAAAAAGAGGCCCATTCTTCCTGAGATTCTACCTCGGCCCCTTGTCAGCTGCCAGAGTTGCTGCCAACACCTAGCGCGTCATTCCCTGCTCCCACTCGTCTACCTCCAGCCAACTGAACTGGTTCCAGCTGGCCATTGCCTGCATTTGGTCATGGAGGCCCTGCCTCTGGAGCCTTCTGCTTCCTATCCTGGTCAGATGGTGTCATCTAACTCCACCCAACAGGCAGAAATTCCTTCTGACTCTGTTGCCAGACTGAGGAAAAACTGGATGGTCAGCCCTGATGAATGTGTTACCATAGCCCTACCTAGAAGTAGGGAATCAGTTGAGGACTTCTCAAAGACATCAGTAGTGGTGAGAAAAAGCCCATCAATATGTCAAAAGCTACCACTGTTATCCAGAAGCCTGATAAAGCTCATACCAGTATACAAGTTATAAGGGCTATGGACATTAAGCTGGGCGTGGTGCCACACACATGTAATCCTAGTACCTGGGAGGCTGAGGCAGGAGGATTATTGTGAGTTTGAGATCATGGGCTACAAAGTGAGCTCAAGGCCAACCTGAACTGCATAGTGAGATCCTGTTTCAAAGAGACCAACTAAACAAACAAACAAAAAAAGAAGAATAGAAAAGAAAGCAATTTTGAGGTTTAAGACTGAAATCTAAATGTGTCTCCTGGAAACTGGGAGAAGATTGTGTATGGATGTGCCACTTGTGGGTGGGTTAGGGTTATAGCCTCACTAATGAGGTGGAAGTCTAGTATCATCCACTATTCTCCTGAAGGTTTTCCTGTGGGGAGAATGGAAGTATTGCAAGGAGATTGGCAAAGCATCAGAAGCCATATTTGAGAAGCCTGTCTATAGAAGGCTGCAGGCCCTTATAGACCTCTTCTTTGACTGGATATTGCTTTTGGCTGGAATCTTTTAGTTTTATTATAACTCCTGGTATTTCTGAGTTTGCCCTCTCATGTATTCTATTATACCATGAGCAGGATCCTCCTGTTGGCTAATTAGGTCAGCGAGGCCTGATGTAGTCCCAACAGGTATAATCCACTTTGGCCTTTGGTAGAATTGGAGAACTGTCCTCAGTTTTATTAGTAAATCTCTTCCTACTAAGGGGGTAGGACACTATGGGGCAACTAAAAGCTCATGGTTGAGCATTTGACTTTCAATGACATGTAAGAGTAGGTGTAAAGAAGCTCTAATTAAGGGTCATCACAATCCCAGTTATGAGTACAGATCTAGAGCAGGGCCCCATCAGTCCTCTTTATCAGAGTGGGAGGTGAGGGTCTTACTCTCTTTATGGGAGCAGGGACAGTCAGTCCTCCAGCGCCATGAGTCAGACAGATTGGTCACCTGACACACAGATCAGGACATGGGCAGTGGCTTGTACAAAGGGGGAAAGCACATCCCCCTTTTAAGGAAAAACACCATCCGATTAGAGCAAAGCCTAACCAAGTTCAAGTGTGACACAGCTGTCATTCATTGTCAAGGGTGGATTACACAGACCACTAGTCTCTTTAGCCCTGACATTTTAAGCACCCAAAGTAATTATTTTCAAAGTGGTTGCACAACAAACTTGTGGTGCTATACTTTTCTTAATTTCTTCCTAATATGAGGAGGTCCACAGCAGAATTACAGAATTTCCTTGTGTGTGACTTAAGATAACTTTGGCATACTGCTATGAGAATGGTCCTTTCCACGAAGTCTATAAGGGGACACTTCCATGGTTGGGGGTGATAAAAGTTTCTCAGTTATTCTCAGGTCACCTTGATAAAAGGAAGCTACATTCCCTCACTACTGCTACTGCTGTGTACTTGCCATAAAAAATTGTTTTGGGAATTTTTCTTTTAGGTTGAAGCCAGGACCTCATGCTAGACAGGTGCTGAACTACTGAGCTACAGCCCAGCCCAAGAAGCTACTTTCTTGAGATGCCTTACTTACAAATTGGCAGACTTTTGCAAGAACAATTCTACTGTGATAGTTACTCAAGAGTCTATTTGAGTATCTAAGCATACTAAGAATAAGGTTTCAGAAACCAGAGTTATTTGTAAATGAGTCATGGTCATTCTCTGCTCTTAAACTCTCAGTTCTTGCTATGTAGCCATTGCTACAGCTGGTCAGTTTGTGAGTTTGACCAATGCATATTCTACCATCTTGGAACACAGGAAATAAAAGTTATGTGGCTACTTGTAATATACCTTTTCTTTTTACAAAAACAGAAATAAATAGTCATCAACAGTGTCACAAAATTCCAACACTCTAAGACTTTGTCAGAGATGACTATAACTTCTAACAATTCTTCATCAACTATAAGACTTGGCTGGAAAATTTCTGGAATGTTGTATATAGCAGCTGGATCAAACTCTGAGACAAGAGATCGTAGAGATGTTAGAATTTTGCCATGAGTCTAGTTAACTTTCAGAGGTGTATGTGAAGGAGCTGCTGTCTCTTGTTACCTCTATGTATAGCCAATCCCTGATCTTCTACTCTTATGAAACTGGGATGATATTAGCCTAGTCTCTGATTGGGTGGATACCTTCCTCCAACTGAGTTTTATTTTTAATGCTTTTGGTTTGTACTCCGAGGCACAATGAAGCCAGCTGTGGTGGCACACACCTGTAATCCCAGTACTTGGGAGGCTGAGGCAGGAGGATCATTGTGAGTTTGAGACCAGTGTGGGCTACAAAGTGAGCTCAAGGCCAACCTCAACTGCATAGCAAGAACCCACCTCAAAAAGACAAATAAATAAATAAATAAATAAATAAAAACAAAGCCACAATGGAAAAAAAAGACTAGATAAATTTTCTCATAGTGTGTTTGCTTTCCCACCAGCCCCATTCAGTAGTCTTGATCTAAAAATGAGTAACAAAATTTTTTCTTGGAATTCAGTAGCTAGGAAAATTACTTCCTTTAAGGAACTACTGGCTCCTTTGGAAAATGGCAACTATATAATTAATTAGGGCACTTTGTTACCAGGAAGTTCAGTGTTTTAATTTGTTGATCAACAGTGTGTTTACTGCCTGTAATTTGCTATCCTCCTGTCTCAGCCTCTTGAGTAGCTAGGATTACAGGTGTGTACCTCCCCACCCAGCTTCCTGGGATCCTATTTTATACTAGAAACATGTATAGATATTTATTTTAAAATTTACTGTTTTTTAGAGTTGTTCAAATCTCTGTTCAGTGAAATGGGGGTAGAAGTAAATGTTAAAAATGAAAATAACAAAGGCATCTGGATCAGGAACAAAAGTGAAAGGACTCCATGCAGCTCCTGTGGAATTGCTTCCTCCTACTGAAGTCAAAGCACTTGAATTTCTCCCTTGAGAATTAAGCCTGGGGTTCTTTTTCTTTCCTGACTAAAGTAACCTTGGGAAAGCTGGCCGGAATCTCTACCCTGGGGAGATAAAATTCTAAGGAATTTGCTAATTCATCATTTCCACCACACTCACAGTATGTGTGTTACAGTTTTATGTTTTAAACTTTTTTGTCTGTATAAATGAATGAGAGAGGAAGTAGGGTTAAAAGCCTCCACTGAGTATTTTGCCTCCCCCTCATTAATGCATGTGCAATTTGGTCACTTATGTTATTTATAAACAAAATTGGTAGAGAAACTACGTCATTTTTGATGGCAAAACTTCAAGTGATGAAAAAATTTAAATATTGGTATTGATTTATTATTTACATGGTTCAAAATCCCAAAGTACAAAATTGGGAATAAAAAGTATTTCTTCAAATTTTGCCTGCAGCTGCCCAATCCAATCCCCTTCCCACGACTAAAGCAGTCTCAGCAGTTTCTAGCAGTGCATCAAGTGCACACATATACACAAGTGGATATACACACAAGTGCACATGACCTCCTCTATGTGATGGGCATTGAAGCATATTAGATCATTAGTTTGGACTTTAAAATTTTGCACATAAATATCTTGTAGATCATTTCATAGTAGTATAAAGACCTTTTTTATTCTGTATTTAGCCTTCCAAGAGTTTCATTTTATGCTTCTATCATGATTTACCAGTCCTTTATTAATGAATGTCTATACTGTTTTTCAATTTTGTGTATGTGTGATACTGGGGATTGAACACTGAACTGCATCCCCGTCTTTTCATTTTTTATTTTTTTTTGAGACAAGGTATCATTAAGTCACTAAGTTGCCTAGGCTGGGCTTGAATTTGCCTCTTACCTCAGTCTCTCGGTGCTGTGATTACAGGTATAGGCTACCACAACCAGCTTTCAATCTTTTTCTTTTTCTTCTTTCTTTTATTGTAAATGATGCTGAAATAAAACATTTTTTATACATGCCATCATCATGTACATTGTGAAATTAAACTCTCAGATATCTATTTACTGGCTCAAAGAATATGTGCCTTGGTAATTTTGTTTTTAGGTATTTTCAATTGTCCTCGCTAGAGGTCAGTGCAATTTACATTCATATTTCATTGTGACTGCGTATCCATACTTGCATGAACACTCAGTGCTTATCTAAGTTTTGCTCTCTGACAATATGACGAGCTAAAACACGGTTTCTCAATGTAGTTCTTATTTGCATTTTTGCATAGAAGAAAAAATACACTCTTATTTTTAGGACCAAGAACCACAAAGTTATGTGGAGTTATTATCTCAGCCTTAGTATTGTTCCTGGAGTCTCTAGCAGGTCAGCATTAAAGTTCAGAGATTGGGAACCTGGCAACATGCCCAGAACTAAGACGGAAAGAAAAGCCAATAGGTCCCATTTCATGAATATTTGCCTTGACATAGTCCCTGATGATGTCCCTAGAAGATAACTTCTGCTTTTATGTGCATGCAACTAGAAGCTAAGTTTCAGATTTCCCAATGCCCATAAAAGCAGTTCTAATTACTTAGCCGCAATTGTTTTGTCTTTTTCTTTTCAATTTGTCCCATACAAAAATGAAGTAAAACAGGTTCTATATTTATAGAGATAACTAAACCTCTCAGTAGAACTGTGTGGGGCTGGGACAAATCATCCAGGTCATGGGAAGGTTATAAGATTAAATAATATGTTTAATACAAGGAGTATTCTGCTTAGGGAAGAGGCACGTTGATAATTAGCATAACTGTCTCATGACTTGCACAAAAAACATCAGTGGTTTTTTCGCGTCTTGTTTTGGTGTGTGTGTGTGTGCACGCGTGTGCACGCGCGCTTTTGCATTGGAGAATCATCCAATGGTATTTAGGCTGTAGCTGTTCAAAATTAATCATATGCTCTTCTCTAAAGTCATAGGTCATGCTAGTGTTTGCATAAGAGGGACTTCAAAAATAGAAGAGGGGTGTCGTTACACCATGGAGTAAGAAAGATGAGGAGTTAGGCCCGCCAGGTTTGCACTTATCCCACACTGTGCAGCGCCCTGACCTTTCTAGCTTCAGTGTCCTTACTTGAATAATGGTGATAATCTGACCTATATACACCTGGGTCTTGTTATAGGCAATAATGGGCAATCGTACATGTAAAGGCTTTGCTACTCTTCATCTATTAGTTCATCTAATATTCGTGGTCTAGACAACTTTCTGAACTGCAGCATCCTCAGACTTTTTTTTTTTTTCCTCAGAAAAAGCTTTCTTTTTTTTGTTTTGTTTTTTGTTTTTTTTTGTTTTTTTTCCGCGGTACCAGGAATCGAACTCACGATGTTGCGCTTGCCAGGCAGGCGCTGTGCCGCTGAGCGAAATCCCCAGCCCCAGAAAAAGCTTTCTTAAAATGCTTTTAGTAAAACCATACCAGGTATTTTTCTCTTTGGTACCAGGAATTGAACTCAGAACCTTGTGTTTGCCAGGCAGGTACTTGTGCCATTGAGCTAAATCCCCGGCCCAATGCCAGGTATTAAAACAAAAAAAAAAAAGTTGGATTCAGGTTGTGTGGCATTGAATGGTTCAGTAATATTGTATCTCTCCTAGGCAGAATATCATTTTTTGAAAAGCTTTCATTAGTTATGCCTTATTGAAGAAAATATATTACAGGCCTAAAGGACAGCTTTGGATAAAACTTGCTGTTCAGCAAAAAGCAAAGACTGTGTTTGCAGAAAAGTGGGTCGGGCCCATTTTCTCTGCGTAGTGTTCTACTCTCCTTTCCACAATTTATCGGAAGATCTAACAGCTGGAGGGCTCCTTTCTTTAATCTTTAATAGGTGCTTGCTAATAATCCTCTGAGAAGTAGTAGGAAGACAATTCAGACCGCCGGCGAGACTCACGGGAGACAATCACTGCCGGTTCCTAGCGAGCCTGCACCCTGGCGACTGTAAACTTCCCCACCGCCCGCCCCGCGCGGTCGGGCTTGCCTAAGGCCGGGGCCGAGGACGGCGCAGGTGGCTGGGCACCGGGCAGGCCGAAGTCCTCTCGCAGCGGGGTGAGCCGGCGCAGCCAC